CCAGATCGAACTCGTCTCGTTTGAGCCGAACAATTGATCGATCGCCGGCCGTTAAACCGTCGGGTTCATGCACGAAAAGAAAAACCACAAAGTAACCACAAGACTGTCGGCGAGGCCATATTGTAGTACTCCAAACCCAGTTTAATTGGGAGCGAGAGATCCAAATTAAAGATGATATGACACTGACTTCTCAATGCACATTTATTGTCTTTTCAAAAAGAAAAACTAAATAAACCACAGTTCAAAAGAACATATATACACGTGGATGGATCGACACAGGACAGCAGCTTCCTTGTTCGCGGAATGGATCGCGTGTGCTGATCAACGACCGACCGATAGATATGATCCCGTGCTTGCAGTTGAAGCCTGGGTGACTTTTCCGTTTTTCCGTGTGTAATATGACAATGTGCATGATGATGAGATTAATAAAGTAGCAAGTGACGATGGATCATTTTCGATCCATTGATTGAGCGAATAGGGTCGGGCACCAACCGCAACCGTGCTTGCAATTGCAAGCTCTCCATTGCATTGACCGCGTGCGTGCAGTGGAACGAGTAGTTAATCGTCGTCTCTAATGATTTTAATTTCAGGCTGGTGATGGAGATGAATGAGACAGAGACACGCGGTTAGTTCGTGGAGTAGTGCTTGTGCAGTTAGTTGCGGCGTGCGTGCAACTTCAATTCCACACGCAACTGTACATATATAGTTTTTTTATATGATATGTATAAATAGTTTTAGTTTCATTTTAATTTGGCTGTTCATCTGAACTTCTCTCACATATATGCAAGACGATGTCATGCATGTGCCACGGCGCGTAAATTGTTCCACAAGCAACATATCCGGCTAGTTTTCTGTTTATGTATTTTGTGTGTGTGAATTACTCATTAACAACAACGTGCATGATGAACTTCGTGTTTCATCATTTGTGGAATTATATATATACACACACAGCTTCCAGACCTTATTCGGTCTGTCTAGCAATGATTGTGACTACAGTATTAGGGATTCCGTATATCAACAACCGTGTGGAAAATGTCGTATATACGTAGGGCTCCCCAACTCGCTTGACTCGTGGCCAGCTCGGCTCGGCTCGGCTTGGCTCGTTTTAATTTTTTCACGAGTTGAGCTGGAAGTCTAGCTCGCTGTTTTAACGAGCCAGCTCGCGAGCTGCTCACGAGCTGAAACGAGCTGAGGCCTATCAGCCTACGACCATGAATCCAAAACATGATGATGCTGATTTAGAAATATCAACCTATTTTATTGGTATGTAATCCTTATTTTCAGCTGTTTCATATGGATTTTGATTTTATAATTATCGTGGTACTTAAATGTTGATTTATGGATTATTTTTCAGGGAGAAGATGGTGATGCTGATATTGAATTTGTGGACTTTTCTAAGTCTGTGGTGGCAAGCAACTAGTAAGTATGCTGAAACTGTATGGATCATGCATGGATGGACCAACTATGTTGCATGGTTGATACTTTTAATGAACCTGATGTGTATTAATCATGTATGGTTGCATAATAGTGGATGTGACCTTCTAAAATTAATGTAGCATAAACACTATAAACATGTGTGTCCTATTTATTTTTGTAGTAGCTCACGAGCTAAACGAGCCGAGCTAAGCTACCCTCTAGCTCGTAATATTAACGAGCTAAGCCGAGCTGGCTCGTTAGGCTAACGAGCCAGCTCGAGCTAGACCGAGCCGGTTCGATATCCAGCCCTATATACGACCTACCCCGCCCCACCGCATGCCCTCAGGCCTCATGGACCGAAACGTCATGATTCAGAGCACCACGCGATCGAAGGGTCAGCGACGACGACGCACTAGTTTTTGCTTGCATGTGCGCCACAGTCCATCACACATCGATCGATCGTGCAAATCATACACTACTGTACAGTACACCTTGGAGCTAGGTAGCTAAAACATGCAACACAGTCGTTCATAGTAATATGCAACAATTCTCTTCCAAAAAATAATATGCAACAATTGTTTAGCCAATGCAATTTAAAACCACCAAACCGGCCTCCATGTTAGACTGTAGTTGTTGTCCATGCATGGAACCGTATGCATGCATGATCTCCGGCTCGAACCAAAACAATATGTTTGCTTAAGTATATATAATTGATCGATAGCAAATCATACCAGACGACACAATGCATAGAGTTTGCACATGCTGATGGTATGCGTGCCTGGAAGGAACTTGCATTGCATTGGCCGGAGCATGCATGCATGATGATGTGCTCCAGAGGTAAGCTATAGCTCAAGTCTTTCCGTGGGTAGATAAGATAAGATTGTTGAACAATAATAAAAGTCACCAGCCAGTTTGTTTATTGAACAAGTAAGGGAATAAAGCAGATATGCCACTGGCGCAAGACAGCTAAACTATGGATGATATACACATCAACTCCATCGATCATGGTAGTTATATTATATATATATATATATATATATATATATATATAATGTATCTCTCGTGAAGACTCAGTGACCTATCGGCGCCATTTGTAAATTCTCTACTTCAATTTGTATTAGGGCATGTTTAGTTTCTCTCCAAAACGTTAAATTTTTCAAGATTCTCCGTCACATCGAATCTTTGGACGCATGCATGAAGCATTAAATATAAATAAAAAATAAAACTAATTACACAGTTTAGATGAAATCCACGAGACGAATCTTTTAAGCCTAATTAGACTATGATTGGACACTAATTGCCAAATAACAACGAAAACGCTGCAGTAGCGTTTTGCCAAAAAATTTGGCAACTAAACTGGGCCTTAGTATATGGTTATCTACCTCGAGGGAACGTTAATTTCTTTCTTTCATTCTTTGGAAGTGGGGAGGCACCCGCACCCGCGTGTGCTTGTCACAATCGTCGGACGCACATCATCAGCTAGCTAGCGGCTTCAAATTATAGCGGGAAGAAGCTTTTTATTTAGAAAAGAAAAGATCTGTACAAATGTAGCACTGGAGATCAACAAGAAACTGAGCCTTTACTGGTTGTGATTTTGTGCCAGCATAATGATTATGTGTATACATACTTTGAACTTGAAATTCAAATATATTCATTTTTTCTAAATTTTAAATTCCATATAGACCTTTCGATCCATACTTGTTTTTTCTTATATAAGGACCCAGCTGTAGCTCAAAGTATATTTGAATTTCAAAAAAACACATCACAAAAGTTGAGCTACAGCTGGGTCCTTATATAAGAAAAAACAAGTACGGATGAGAAGCCGAGTTTTAGGTTAAAAAAGTTTTTTCGATCAGTGTACGAGCATACCTTTTCAAAGTAAGCTCGGTTTTATAAAAGTTTTTTTTTCAGTCTAGAGGACGCCAATGCAACCTTTTAAAAAGAAAGCTTGGTAGCAACACTTCCCCCCAAGCTCCCACTAATTAGCATGGTTAAGGGGAAAATTTTAAATTGCACAGCTGTTATTAATTTTGAGTGCAGCGAAGCAGAACAGCGACTGATCTCCTGCGCTTACAACTAGATATGTAATCATCCGCTACATGTTACTGTATGAAATTTGACAGAAACCATGGCCATAGTTTATACTTGGCAGCAACAACGAACCATAACTATCGCAGCAAAAACCTGGAGCAGATTATTACTGTATTTGATTGATCACGTTTTTTTCCTTACATGAACCAAGTTTATTCCTCTCAAAAATATTATTATTATTATTATTATTATTCCTCTAAAAAGACTTAATTCATCTAATAAAAAGTTCGTTATATGTGGAATGGTTCCAAGGAGTGATTTCTGGGAATACGATTAAACTAGCAAAATCAAGCTTTAAGCAATACATACACTACTTGGACGTAACTTTATTAATTTCTGCATTTTGCTGAAATCATTCAACACAAACGACAACAGGCGAGCGAGCGTATATGGGAGTTGGTGCAAAACCGTGGTCCAAACAAATAAAATATGTCCCCGGGTAGCTTTTCGATCCAAGTTTCCATTTTCATAACGGTGATGAGGCCTTGCTGCTGCCTGACACTGACAGCAGCATGGATATACGAAAAGCACTTTGGGCTTTTGCGAAGACCGCGCGCGAGATCTAAGTAGCAGCCCACGCATCACGGATGGACCAACCAACGCCCAGTTAGCGCTAACAAACTGGGATGTGACAGGCGCCAACGTGTCGTACTGGCTCTTCTTTGAACGACGATTCATATGCTGCTAGCAACACACCAACGACACACCTTCGTTCTCCACGCTAGCTAGCTTTCTCCTGAAATTAAGAACAAGCTAAGTACGCGTACTCTCCGCGATAGCTAGGGTTGTTGAACACGTTAGGTGATGCCTTATTTGGATGTGCATATGTATGGTAGGTGTTCGAGCGAGGGCCTACAGTAATGGAAAAAAAACTGGTACGTGCGACCATACAACAATATGGTTTTGATGGTGTAGCACTAAATCTATTTTTCACGCGTACCTAGCATCCATGTGTCATGTACCTAGCATCCAAGTCATTAATATTTATTGAGCCTGCCCTAGCTTAAAACCCTGAGTTACACGACATTGTTGTATGTACATGAATGTGTTACACAAACTATTGTGAAAAGGTTTTTCAGAGACGGTCAAACACAGTTTATAATATCAGCCTATAAAATGCCTGAAAAACAGGAAGAACATTGAGTTTTACTAGAAAACAGCTCTGTTTGGCTGTATATATCAGCCTATAATAGCACGTTTAACCAGGTCAGCACGCAGCACACCTAAACTCTTAGGTACGCACTATATTATGAAGCTAACATTATGGGCACATTGTGATTCAGCAAAGAAGTCGCAAGGCGACCACGTTCCCTACCTACGCTCTCCCATCTCATTATCGGCGGCAAGCTCAATCATTAACCGTTAAACTACTGGCCAAACCCGGCAATATATATACCCCTGCAGGCCCAGCTCCAAAGCACAACATCACAGTGCAAAGCACCTGTCTCTTGCTCCATCAGCTTAGCCGATCAGGCTTCCGAAAGGAAAGAAAAATGAAGCTCTCGGCGGCAGTCCTCTGCGCCCTTGTGTCTGTCCAGGCGGCGGTGCTCCTCCTCGCCACCGTGCCGTCGGCGCAGGCCAAAGAGCTGGAGGTCGGCTACTACAGCAAGAAGTGCAAGGGCGTGGAGAACGTGGTGAAGTGGCACGTTATCAGGGCGCTCAAGGCCAACCGCCGCACCGGCGCCGCTCTCGTCCGCCTCCTCTTCCATGACTGCTTCGTCAGGGTAAGCATGCACTAAGCAAACATGCGCATTCATGAACGCCTGCTAATTTTTATCTTATAGTAGTAAAGTGTGTGGCGTGAAATGCATGTATAACTACTTGACGCCGACGGTGGTCGGTAAACTGATTAATTACTGGACATGCAGGGGTGCGATGGTTCTGTCCTCCTGGACGCTTCCTCAGACAACCCTCACCCTGAGAAGAAGGCGCCGGTGAACATCGGCCTCGCCGCCTTCGAGCTCCTGGAGGAGATCAAGGCCGCCGTCGAGAAGCGGTGCCCCGGCGTGGTCTCCTGCTCCGACATCCTCATCTACGCCGCCCGCGACGCGGCCAGCGCCCTCAGCAACGGCCACGTCCACTTCGACGTCCCCGCGGGCCGCCTGGACGGCTTCGTCTCCAAGGCCGAGGAGGCCCAGGCGGAGCTCCCGGACTCCACCCACGATGTGCAGCAGCTCATCGACAACTTCGCCAGGAAGAACTTCACCGTGGAGGAGCTCGTCATCCTCACCGGGGCGCACTCCATCGGCCAGGGCCACTGCTCCTCCTTCAGGGGGCGCCTCTCCGAGCCGTCGAGCCAGATCACCCCGGCGTACCGCGACCTGCTCAACTACAAGTGCTCCCAGGGATCCGACCCGCCCGTGGACAACAACGTCCGCGACGAGGACTACGGCGTGGTGGCGAGGTTCACGCCGGGGTTCACCAGCCGGGTGCGCAAGATCCCCGACTTCCTGGACAACTCCTTCTACCACAACAACCTCGCCAAGATCGTCACCTTCCACTCCGACTGGACGCTGCTCACGCACAAGGAGGCGTTCGGCCACGTCGTCGAGTACCGCGACAACGGCACGCTATGGGACGAGGACTTCTCCGACTCGCTGCTCAAGCTCAGCAAGCTGCCCATGCCAGCGGGAAGCAAGGGCGAGATCAGGAAGAAGTGCAGCGTCGTCAACCACCGCCTATACTAAGCCAGCTGCTGTACCTACAACAATGGAAATCCACGAAAGAGGTCGATCGTGTGCCCGCCCAACACATACTTGTTCGTAGATCAAGATGAGCCATAAGGTTGCGCTTTTTTCGTTTCATCCATTCTTTTGATTCTCATTCGTTGTACTACACACTTTTTTGTGTATTTCTCGTATCTGCCAAACTGCAATAAAACTTTGTTCCTGACATGTCCAACAAGTGAAGTGCTACTTCTATTGGCAAATGCCATTATTGTCCTGTACAACATATGAGTGGTCAACCTTTCAGATCAGACAGTTACTATATAAGCTAAACGTACTAGGATACTCGTTAACGGATATGGCGTGTGAAACGTTAGTACCCGTTATACTTCTTCCATTCCAAATTGCAAGTTGTTCTGACTTTTTTAGATATATATAGTTTTTCTATGCATCTAAATATACATTATGTACGTCTAGATACGTAGTAGAAGCTATGTGTCTAGAAAAGTCAAACCAGAACAGACTTACAATTTGGAGGGAGTATCTCCAGGTGCAGATTTATAGACACTCCTTGCATTAGGCAGCTCCACGCCTGCACCCCTAATAAGGGCCAGCTAAAGCGACACATGGATGTTGTCACAATTTTGTCCTATTGGTGTATTAGTGTGAAACCAAGTTATAAGAACTTTGGTTTGATTTGTGGCTTTGAGAGCTTTTGAGATTGCACGAGGCTCTTGTATTGCTTATTTGACTCTTCATTATGTTTATCTTTTGCATACTCTTTTCAAACTGAGAGTTTTTACTAGAAACTTTCATGATCTTTTCTCGTATTAAGTGGCTTTGTGTTTGCTTTTACTTGGCTTTTATACACTTGAATGAGGGGGGTTTCTCTCTTCTCTTTTAAACCTTCTTCTATGCATTCATCAAGGCTGAGATTGAGAGACCAAGTTGAGAAGTGCAGTGTTCTCTTCCATGTGTGATGAATTATTGACTCAAGGGTTGAGGTTTGAAGCTTCTTCGGTTGAACTCATATTTCATATGTGCTTGTTTATGCTAATGGCTAACTCGAGGCGCCACGTTGTGTTGAGTGTACGTGTTGTGCAACATGTATCTTGGGGCTTTGTGAGTGTGTAGGTGTTAGATGCGTTGAGGTGGTCGGCATGTGATGGTGAAGGTCAAGGAAAGAGTCCATACACGATGAACCAAGGATGGTGAAGAGAGCATATGAAAACTTGGATCGAAGGACCAAAAGTCTGAGAACGGACTACGAGAGGCTCACATTGGGCATGTGGAAGAGCAAGAGTACATGGGTGATGAAGACGGTGTTGACCAGAGTCATAGGCGAGGTGAGACCAAGTGAAGGCGAGGCATCACGAGCATTTTGTACACCAACGGACCAAGGACAAGTTCAACACGCATTGACATTGTTCAGTCACACCTTGTTGGGTATGCAAGAGGGTTTGCTTGTTTGGTTCATGAAACCGGGCATGGACAATTTGATGGTTTGGACCTTGAAACCACTGGTGGCAGATATGACCAGTTTGGGACTCAAAATCGAGGTGACGAGCTGGAGGACAAATGGAATCATCGTGAAGCATGCATCGAGGCGAAGCTGAGTCAAGAAAATGTCGGGTCTGTCTGATGCACCAACAACTATCTGGATGGTTTCACCCTTGGGGTGTATTTGGGTTGAGTATATCATGTAAGTGCAATTTGAGAATTACTAAGTGTCTACATATATATGGAAGATGGCTAGTTGTGGGAATACAGCTCTGGGGTGTGGCTCTCATTTATGTGGTTGAAAATTTTGCTTAGTGTTAGAGAGAGGGGAGAGAGAGGGAGAGAAAGAGAGGTTCTTGTTCTTGAGCTTTTTTCCATCCAAAACTTTGATTTCTTAGGAGTGGCTACTTGTATCCGAACATCTAGTTAATCAAAGATTTGATTTTGTGCTGCAAGCTCTATCTCCCTTAAGTCTTGAGCTTCTATCAATGATTTTTGGAGCTATTTTGGGATTTTTTGTTCTTCACTTTCGGCTGTGATTTGGGTCAGATTTTTGGGGCCAAATTGGTGCTATGACATAAGTGAGCAATCCTAGGGTATTCCTCCATTAAATTCTCCCTTGAGCTCCATGACTTTTGAGTTTCCCTAAATTCCTCCTTTTCTTATGTTTTGCAAAATCTGTTAAATTGATGAGGAAAACTCAATCTTTTGAGTACTATCTCTTGGGACCATCTTCACCAGAGGTTAGGGAAGGTGTGCAAAATTCACAACCTTTTGGAGCTCATTTGATCAACTTTGAATTTTTTCTCTTCTTGTTTCAAAGCTTTTTTCTGAGCAGTCTGGAACTTTCAAATATGAAAAACTTCTAAGCATTTCTGTGGAACATCTGATGGAACGGTGTGGCACAACAGTAGTGGAATAGGTGGGCTTAGGGATAGGGTTTAGGTTTTGGGGCAATCTCCAATGTCCTCCAAACTGAAAGGGATGCTCGACGGCGGTGGTCAGCCCAATGGCGATGGCGGTTCTAGGACGGCGAGACATGGTGGCAGTGGCGGTGCTGATGGCTTAGTGGTGGAGGACAACTCGTGGGCAGGGGTCAGTGCCAAGGGTGATCGAAAGCATCGTTAGTGAAGGGCGGGGTTGCGGCAGCAGCGACACAAGGTGGACGATGAGGTCGCCGGTGGCCTAGGCAGCAACAGGGCAGTTGGAGATGATGACTCAGAGAGGGAATAAGAAAAGATGGAAAGAAGAATTTTGTGTGCAACATGTATCAAGATGCACATGTTGAGGATTAGGCCACTCCATACGATTTTTTAAAGCAGTTTCATCCTTTTCTTATAACTAAAAAAATTAGTAAACACCTAATACATTTTTGAACCATGAAAAATATCTCTAAACTTCTAAACACGTCGAGAAATCTCCTAGAGATGGATTGTGACACGAGAAATCGAAACAAAATATCTAGAGCTCATAATAATACATGTAGTTCTTAAAAATTAGTTTTAGGTCTAGAAAAGGGGGGGATATAATGAAATTTTTGAAAAATTCCTAAAATATTCATCTGAACATCTTAACACATTTTAAAACCTTTCCACAACAAAAATATGACATGAAACAATAATGATTGCAACATACATTAATTTCAAATGCACTCATGTTGGTTGCATCTTGTGTTTTTATGTGGAAGTTTTTTAAAATGCGGTTAGATATCGATTAGAATAGTTTATGATTTTTTTAAAAAAAGTAGGTTACCTTTTTTCCAAAAGATAAATCTAAATTTTGAAAATTTCTAGAGATATTTTCATGAGCTATAATTATTTTATTTGAATTTATCATGTTCTAATCTAAAAAAAACTTATCCGGTGTTTACCGAATTCTTTTCATTTAAAAAGATAAAGCCACATTGAAACTATTTCTAACCGGGAAAGTGAGGTAATTTAAATGGTTTTTAGACTTCAAGGATATAGTTTATCTGATATTAGAGTTCGAGTAGAAAACCTGACTCAGGCAACTGAGGCATAAGAGTGGATGATGACCGGTGTATCACGTGCAACAGAGAGGGCGAGGATGGAGGCCATCTCTTCGTGAAATGCAAATCAGTAAGGGCGCTATGGAGAAGTGCAGGGATGGAGGCATTGCAGCTGGAGCTGACCAACTGCAGTAATGCGAAGAAAGTGGTTCAAAAACTGCTGGCAACAGATGATGAGCAACAGTTGTGGGCAGTGCTCCTTCTGAATAATTGGTGGCATGAGCGCAATCAAGTCGGAGAAGGAGAACGGCGACGTTCACCTGACGATATTGCACTGTTATGTGGGCGGCAAGCTATTGAGATTAAAAACCTCCAGTCTTTACCTGCTGCTGAACCAAGGGCCAGAACTAGAAGAAGTAAATGGGAAAGACCTCCAATTGGCATGCTCAAACTGAATGTGGATGGGGCTTTTAGGGAGTCTGATAAGAATGGCGGATGGGGCTACGTGATCCGAGATGAAAGTGGCGATGCGATCCAGTCAGGGTCAGGAAGAGTGCCTTTTGCGAGTAACCCGTTGCATATGGAGCTTATTGCTTGCGTAGAAGGGGTGAAGGCAACGACAGCTCTGGGAATCAGCAATGTAATTCTTGAAATGGATGCACAACAAGCGGTGTGGGCGATACAGGGAGATGATTTCAGACTTGCTGTGGTGGGAAGCTTAGTCCATGATCTAAAAGACTTGATAGCAGAGAGCTTTACTACCTTAAGTGCCAATTATGTGCCGCGTGATTGTAATAAAGTAGCCCACGAACTAGCTTCTTTAGGGAGCAGGAGCCATGATTTGGCGCCCTCTATGTTGGCCGGAGTGTCAGAGTGTATCTCGTTTCTGGTGTCAAGCGATTTAGCTGACATGGTTGAGTAATGGAATGAAAATTCCCGATCAAAAAAAAAAAGATTTTTCCATAGCGAAATAAGTAGAGTTGAAGAGGCCGGTCTAGGCCCAAGAGCCCAGGAGGCTACAACCTGGGCCTGAAGACCGAAAGGAGATACTAAGGAGGGAAATGGTCCAACCCAAGGATACATACTCTCATGCTTCCCAGATCCAATCTGAATCTGCATCTTAAATTACATCCTGCGTCTGCAAATAAATCCTTCACATTGTCACACTATATATACCTGCCTCGGCAGTCTGCACATTGTGCACTAACACTACCAGAAATGGGAATCCGTGTTGCCGCATCGTGAGGATTCCAATTGTTCAAACATAAAACTAAACTCCTCGATGAATAAAGACATCGTGAGGATTCTACTTGTATGTGGTTGCCCCCAGGTCCAGTTTCTCAGTTCTGCTCGGGTGCATGGTGGATCTGTTAGACCTGTGAGGACCTATTTGCAACCTGCATGTGGATCAAGCAGCTGCTCTTTGCCTTAACAATCAGCCAGTAAACGAGGTAGCATGGGAAATGAAGCGATGCCATGGCCAAATACCTGCATGCAGATTTCTGATTATCGCAAATTCACAATGACAACAAACAGAAATGTCGAAAATGTGTATGCAGGAAAACTGATTGATCTGGCGCCGTACCACAGTGGTGCCAAGGATGATGTAGGACGGAGGAAAGGGTAAGGCCACCTGCACAAATGCGCATAGATATGTAGGGTGAAAGCACTGAAGGTTAGCAACGATTTGTATAGCAAACAATCAATAGAAGCACTGAGAGTCACATCTCACCATGTCATACCACAGACATGGGCGATCCACTGGATGATCACGTACAGGCACGTCCAGGGAACGAAGTATGCGATTCTGAACCAAGGGAAGGGCTACAGAAACAGAGAAGTAGTGTCACGTCAGATCCACATGGCTTTGCGAAAGACTGTTCCATCCCAACTTTACGTACCAAGGTGTTTAGTGCAGTCTCTGTCAGTAGGAACACAAAGTTGAGAGAGTGTATGCAGGCCATCACCTGAAACGATCGAAGGTGTCACATTTACGCAGGTAATTTGTTGAAGCGATCGGAATATCAGCAATGTTTTGTAAAGATAAAATCTGTACCTTTTTTTTCATTTAATAGCTACTAATATCAACGATTAGTGATGAGAACCACTCACTGCATTGAGACTGAAATGAGCTGACAACGTGAATGGTACTATCAGGCCCCAGAAGACCGCATCCGTCAGGACAACCGCGCCGGCACTGACCTGCAACCGGGACGAACGATCAGATTGCTTAATTTTTTTTTGAAAGAACCAGATTGCTTAGTTACAAACCCTTTTCTTTCTGTGAAGAAACAGGCCCGTATTTTAATTATGTCACTGGTTTGGTTCTGCCGCAAGCGTGACAGACAGGAGCACCAACTGATATGCCAACAATATAAGCTGTGACTGTGAGTGCCAGAGCAAGAACCTGGTAGCCAATTTGCATCAGCTGGAGTCCCAGTCGCCCAGCTCCCTTCCAAGCATCACCGCTTGGGTTCGGCTCGTCGCCACCGCCACCGCCACCGCTGGGGCCGAGCAATCTGTCGTCGGTGCTCTCGGGATCCTCCGCGCGGTCTCGTGACGAGTAGTAGTACATCATCCGGCATCCGTACGCGGAGCACAGCGTGGCAGCCTACACGTTTCACTCGGAGCATCAATTCAGGGCCGGCCGGCCGGCCGGAAACTTAACACGTGCCGACGTGCATGTGCGTGCTCGTGCTATGAACCCGTTGATGACACGTACCGCGAAGTAGGCGATCTCTAGCAGCAGTGTCCATCTGCAAAAAGGCTGTTGTCACTACTGAACTGTACTTGCTATATCTGCAAGGATCGATTCGAGGGAGAGAACGAATGCACGCACTCGGTGTAGTACATCATGATGCTGGGATCATAGGTCCGCAGGTCCCACGCCAGCACGGCGGCGAGCGCGACGGCGGCCGTGGCTCTGAACGCCAGCAGAAACGACGGGGGCACCCGGCTCCAGCAGCTCATCCACGGAGGCGAAGCAGCGGCGGAGCCGTCGTCCGCGCGCGGTGGACGACGGAGCTTGTTCACCTGGATGATCGCGCCCAGGGACGCCGCGGCGGAGACCGCCACGACGGCGAAGCTGAGGAAGCACTGCCACTGCGCCATGCTGCTGGTCTTTGATGACCGGTACAAGGCAAGCAGACAAGCACAGGTACAAGTAGCAATGAAGGAAGAAAGAGAGAGAGAGAGCGAGAGCTAGTTGTTAGGACTAGTGGTTCATATTTGACCGGCAGCTGATGCCACCAACTCAGGACTCATGAACACGCCGTACATTTTACTGCTTCCAGCCAGGTCTAACACTGTCTCCAACGACCTCAATCTAAAATATAAGATTCATTAATCCTTTGAAGAGCGCTACAGGCAAAAGATTCGATATTTATTTTTGGTCTTCTTCAACAACAAGATCTAAAAGACAATCATTTCTGTAAATGGGTCTACAGGAGAGACGATACTCAGATTTATGTTATGCTTCTCCTGGCACTCAAAATGAGTCTTCCATATAAGTGCCCAACTTTTCAGTTACTTGCAACTGTGAACAGATCCGTCCCTAAAAAAAACTCAAGACTGAGCACTTCAGGTTCCGTTTGGCTTTTCTGACGCACGTATTGTTCACAAGTTTTTTTTTCTCTCTTCTCTCCTTTTCTCATAGAGCCGGTGAAGCCAGTTGTTTTTACTCGCCTGCTCCACTGGCTCTGTGAAACAAGGAGAAAGGAGGGAAAAAAAAGACCACGTATGAACAATGTGTAAATAGTGCGTGCGTTAGAGTAGATGGAGCCGGTACGAGCTTTTACCAAAGGGGGCCTCAGTCTCTTCAGTTCGGTCTTTGATCCTGACCAAACTGACCAACAAAAAAAACACAATGAAATCAAGCATGTATTCGGATGAATCAAAGCCACAAAAGATGAGTCAAAGCAAGAGAGCATGTGTAGAAACTAGGTCATAGTTTTTTTTGCTAGGACTCCTCTTATCCTCGGTCTCTTAATGATGTTGTGTCAAGCCTAGCTTCCGCATATGTTCCAGTATGCCAGCGCATAAAATGTGCCTTAACTGATATGTTTTAGTTTTTTTAAAATTTTAAATGTTTTTAGTTTGTTTTTTATTTGATCATCAACGGCACGCTGGCAAACAGAGGAAGGAAACGGTCAGGGAAAGGTGAAAAAACGTATACCACCGTGCTCGAAAGTTAGCTTTGGAATAATACGGCCCATGAGCCCAATGCAAACACAGCCCACCATCAAAAGCCACAGGCCCACGGCATTTACTAACCAGTCTGAAGACGAGGACAGCCCACTAGCCATCACTACCCACCTTTGTCAAAGACTCAAAGGCCACGGCATTAGGCCTGGTTTAGTTCCCAAAAATTTTTATTTCAAACTATCACATCGAATCTTATGGAGTATTAAATATAGATGAAAAAACTTAATTGCACAGTTTGATTAGAAATCACGAGACGAATATTTTAAGACTAATTAGTCCATGATTAGCCATAAGTGCTACAGTACTAACATGTGCTAATGATGGATTAATTAGGCTTAATAAATTCGTCTCGCGGTTTTCAGGCGAGCTATGTAATTAGTTTTTTATTAGTATCCGAAAACCCCTTCTGACATCCCAAAACATCCGACGTGACATCCAAAAATTTTCATTTCACGAACTAAACACAGCCTTAGTAACCAGAAAAAGTTCACATTACCTCTCAGCTTTTGCGAAAGTCTATTTTTTCTCCCTGAACTCTAAAATCGAGTAAGCCACCTCCCTACCTGGCCAGTTATAAGTAGTTTTCAAAGGCAGTTTTGCCTTTTTCTTTTTTATTTATTTCGGCCGAATCTTTGAAAAAATGATAGTAAATCATAGAAAAATCATAAAATAGATAATTCAAATTTGTTGGACTTCACGTGAGTAGATCTATACAATAGTATAGATTTTTTTTGTTGTAGCTTTAAATCTATGCTTTTCTATAATTAATTCATAACTGCAGTTTCTATGGTCCAATTATGGTGAATTTTTTATGGTGGGATAATTATTGTATGCTTGAATTGTAGTGAAAATTTCATACTCAATGGATCATGTATAACTTAGTTATAAATCTACATGATCCAATGAGTATGAAATTTTTACTACAGTTCAAGCATATAATAATTAGGCTACCATAAAAATTTCATCACAATTATACCATAGAAACTGCAGGTATGAATTAATTATAGAAAAATAGAGATCTAAAGCTACAACAAAAAATTTGTACTAAAGCATATTATATTATATGTTCACTGTGCAGATCTACTCATGTGCATTCCAACAAAATTGTACTTTTCATTTTCTGATTTTTCTATGATTTACTATGATTTTCAAAGATTCAGTCGAAATAATAAAAAAGAAAAAGACAAAACCGCCTTTGAAAACCGCTTATAACCAGTCAGGGAGGTAAAACGAATGATTTTAAAAGTTCAGGGAGGTGGTTTACCCGATTTTAGATTTCAGGGAGGAAAAACGGACTTTCGCAAAAGTTAAGTGAGGTAATGTGAACTTTTTCCTCAGTAACCAGAACACAGACCACCAGCTCTAAGCCCGCAAGCAAATTTGTATTTCTCCATTCTTTTCTTCTTCTTTTTTTATTTTAATAATCTAACCATTATAAAGACCAAGTTGATACTCTACGCCTTGTATCCAAAAAAAAAAGAAAAACTCGCTTCTCGGGTAGTTAAACAATCTCAAATCTGAGATTCAAACTCTAATAAAATTGTGACACTCATCTTCATGAACGTGGTTGGTTGGTTTGCTCACACCTCTGCTTAGCTGAAAAGTCATATTGAAAAGTACTGTTCGTTGATTTATTGTGAGAGAAAAATACTGTACCATGACTGATAAACCAGGCTGATACGTTCAAGCGAACGGGGTAGTCTCAAAAAATTATTGAAAGGCATTCAAGCCTAAATCTTGTGAAACGTTGTTTTGAGATGTGGCCCAGTGGACCAAGAATTTCCATCCTAAGTTCGCATGCTAGCAAGTGCAATTTTTCTACATGTATGGTTGACCAGAAATAGCGCTAATCTTTGACATAAAAAATGTAATTTTCTTATTTACAAGTTATTTTCAAGCTATTTGCTAGACGCACTTCTGGTCTATTCTTTGAAAGGAGGATGGGAAGCCCAAAATAAAAGTGGGCATGTCTACCTCTTTCCTCGGAAGAATACTATTCAAATTTTGTTTCGCTAAAATTTAACTTATGCTGATGCTTATACTGATTATTATGAGAAAAACACTGTTCGTTCGCTAAAATTTGACTTATGCTAGCAAATGCTTATATTCCATCATGTAGCTCTCACGGTCAAGAAGCAGATCACATCCCTTGACCATGAGGGTTGCAAGGTGGAAGGTAGAGCACCTCACTGAGGGTGAAGTTTTGCGATGTGCTGCGTCGTTCTTTAGATTCCATAATCTTGGTACCTCGGAGAATCGAGATGCAGATCTGTTGTTGTGTATCTTCAAACCGCCATAATCTTGGTAGCTCATGCCTTAAATGCAGTTGTGCTACAGCTAGAGCGGCACTGGCACCATAGCAGACCCCATGAGTTGCCACTTCTCTGGCACGAGCCGGGATATCCTGCAGGCGATCTTCAAGAGAAACACCCCTAGTGTTGACTGCTGCAACTGCGCCAAGTGCTGCACGTTGGAGAGTCTCGTGGCGATTCTCCAGGTCGATCTCCCGGCGATGAGCCTCCTCGATCTCGCGACGAGAAGCAACCAGTTGTTCCTCAAGATCTAATAAAAATGAAGGGTTATCGGATAAAGTTGCGAATATAAAAGCAAAGACTTTTCAAAGAAATTTTACCTGCTGCCCTAGCATTAGCTTCATCAACCCTCATCTAAGCAACATTGGTCTCTTCTTCAGATGAAGAGAGGGCTATTTTAACAGCATCGAGACATTGCTCGAGCCGACCTACCTCAAGTGTGGCCTCAGAATATAGGTGTCGACAGAATATCGTCGGCAGTCCTCCGAGGGGTATCCCACGAAGGTAGATTGATTGGTAGAGGAGCGTGAGATCAAGAACAAGAAGGCAACAGAGACACACGAGTTAGACAGGTTCAGGCCGTCAGTATGACGTAATACCCTACTCCTGTGGTCTGTTTGTTTGTATTAGCTATCGTATGATATGCCGTGATTTTGGAGGGGGTCCCTACCCGCCTTATATAGTCCGAGGGCAGGGTTACAAGTCGGTTAGATCTGAGAGATAACCGGAAAGTAATAACAGAATACAAGAATCATGGGATCGTACGTATCCTAATAGATCTCGTAGTATCTTCAGGATATCTTTCTTATGTCTTGTGGCAGGCGCCGAGCAGAATCGTGCCCTGCAAGGCTTCATCTTGTGGGCTAGGCCGCCCCTGGGGGCGCAGCCCATGTGGTCTGCCGTGGGTATCCGGGGTCGTACCCCCCACAGCTAGTCCCCGAGCGTCTTATACCCGTTGTGCAACGCCGTCTTGAGTTTGTCCAAGCAGGTGCGAACCAAAACCGAGCGTTCCAACTCATGGTCCGACCATCGCGATGAGTCACCGTGCAGTTGTGAGCAGTTGCCGAGCATCATACATCATCGCCGAGCAGCGCGAACCATCACCGAGCAGCATGTCCCAAGCACAGCTTGTCATATGGGTGTAAGGAGCTCCAGTCCAGAATTGAAAATTTCTTCGCAGTGAATGAAGTGTGCCCACTTAGAGTCCGACCACGAGAAAAGGAGTCTTGCAACAAACACTTTCACCGCAAGGTGAAGTGTGCCCACTTAGTCCCTGAGCCTGACAGTAGATGACATAGTCATGTGGTGCGAAGTCGAAAAATAAAAAACCAAATGAGCAGAAACACCCCCCCCCAGCGCAGACCTCGAGATGAGAAAAACGCACATTCACCGCAAGGTGCAGTGTGCCCACTTAGTCCCCGAGCCTGACAGTAGATGACATAGTCATGTGGTGCCAGGGTCAGAAAGTAGAAAACCAGCTGAGCTGGCAGCCAGTCCCCCGGCGCAGCCTCGAGATGAGAAAAACGCACATTCACCTCAAGGTGAAGTGTGCCCACTTAGTCCCCGAGCCTGACAGTAGATGACGTAGTCATGTGG